TGATCACAACATTCTTAGCTCTGTTCATTGCCCCACCATCTACACAGAGGGCTATCACTAACCTCACTCTACAGGAGAGGGCCCTCAACACAGATTTCTAAGCTATGTGTCTGAAGACTTACAGTGACTAAGGGACAGAGGCCACTGAGTTGATTTGATTCTTCAAGCTACTTGGCTAGAACTTCAGAGACTCTTATCAGCTTGGAGAACAAGACCTAGAGATGTGCTGTGCTATTAAGGATTACCTAATAGGGCTTTTGTAACCACTGGCTTTCATTTTCTCCACATGTCTGGGTAGGACTATACAAAGGTGAGGTATGTATGACGCAGCAAGGGGATTAGATACCTTGCTGAAAGGTAAACGACACCTTTTGAGAGGAAATACGGAAATAAGGTGTACAGACCAGTAACAAGGGGATTGGTCAGTTCTGTCATCCAATCAGGCTTAAAAATGAACAAGTAAAGAACAGAAATCTCATTTCTATCAAGAAAGATAAAGCAGAGAGTGGAATGCATCCTTTGGAGATTTTTAAATGAGACATGTCAAGACCATGACAGCACAGCAATAACAGGGATGGTAGAGAACTGGTGTGAGAGAGGTGATTGAGGTCCCCCACTCCATGGAGCCAGAGCCTTTGCCTAGGTTTACTGGTGGAGCAGGGGTTGGAGGGCACACACATAAATGGCAAAACTAAGAGCTTTTAAACACTTGTAAGGGACCAAGTTCAAAACCTTAAGGTCAGAGACAGAAGCCTGCTCACTAGTGTGCCTGAGAAGAGGCTGTCCTCACTGAACAACAGCCTCCTGAGTGTTTCCAACCTAAATTGTTACCTATGAATCCCATGATTTTAAGTATCATCTATGAGTTCTGTGTAGCCATTACAAGAAAACAGTGACCCTAGCAGAACAGTAGGAGCCTTTGGCCAGACAGCTGGTATTAGAATTGATAAAGGGAGGTGGGGGAGCCTGGGGCACGTCTAACCTCACAGGATTCAGCTTTGTGTTGCTGTGGTGGACAGGGAGTCCTCCCTCTCCCTGAGGGGCTGGGAGGTCAGATTCTGCTGCCACACAGTCAGCTGCACTGTTCTTCACACAGACATGAATCATCCCGGGACTGGAAAGCTCCAAGATTTCCTATTTACTCCATACATTTTCCTCAAGTTGGAACCAAGTCCCTCCAAATCCTTGGGAATCTGAGTCTGCAATGCCTCCTGCTCATCTTGGGCATGCCCTGCTCCCTCATCTGTCCACTCTCCTGAGCTGTCAGGATTCTCAACTTGAGAATTCCATATTTTTCAGACATGTGTTCAAAGAAAGGAGCTGTGGTGGCTTCTGGTTGCTAACAGAAAGCTTGGTGCTCAAAGCCCAATAGCCACGCCATAGGAGAAGAGGATGTCACTTGGTTTCCCCACAAGATCTACAGCCTGGAAACCCTATGTGGCAGTCCTAGTCGGCCCTACAGAGCTGGGAAAGAGGTGAATGCCACCAGGTTTCGTTTAGGTGGTCAGAGAAATGGTTACGATCAGATGGGAGTTACTCCTTTGTCAGGCTAAACTCCTGAACCTTTACTTTAAAAATTGATAGCAAATCTATCCTACTTGTTTTTGAGCTAACACCATGGCCCAAAAGCTCATCTGTGAGTCCTAAGTGGCCTTTCTGTGGCCGCTCTTGCCTCCCTTTTACAATCTCCATGAGGAGAATCAAGTGATCTTTTGAAAATGTTAATGAAATTCATCACTCCCCTGCTCAAACGCCACCAATGGTTTCCTGGTGCAGATGGTCACATCCTCAGCATGGCTGAGAAGCCCCTTCCTGGGCTGTCTATCCATATTTGAGATCTGCTGTCCTCTCTCCCATCATTCCTCCCAGTCCAGCCACACTGTCCCTCTGATACTTGCGGACTGATTCCAAATACTGGAATGGTCTCTGGACCCGCTGCTCTGCAGCCCGAATCCTCTTCCATGGGTTTCTGCCTCGATGGATTGTCTTCACTATGAAGACATCTGCCCACATATACTATTCTCTGACCACTCCATGCTCTCCTGTTCCACTCCCTCACCCTAACACCTACCACTTTTTAAAGTTAAGCATTTGATCTGTTTACGGAGGTATTCTCTAGTTCTCTCATTAGAAATGCAAACCCCACGAGAACAGAGGAGTTTCTTAATCAATGGTCTATTTCCAAAGTCTAGCCCAATGCCTGGTACACAGTGGGCTCTACACGTCTTTAGTATCTTCATGTGAAAGACATCCAACCTTTTCACAGCATCTCCTAGAAGGAAGAGCACTGTTCATATAGAAGCTTCAAACAGCTTCCTAGTGGATCCTGCACCCCCTCACTTGCTCTTACAGAAGGCCAGCCTGAACTTTTCCCTAAAACTGTACTCAAACTGAGCAAAATCCACAGGAAACCTACATTTCAAAATATTAGTCCACACCAGCTCTAGGGATGAACGTAATTCAAAACATGAAAATTTATTCTCAGTTGTGTATCTCAACATACGAGATCTCAGCTTTATATGAATTTTAATGTTTACAAGTGCAAAAGCAAATAAATATTTACCAGTTGCTTTTTTTTCACTCTTAAAACTCCACAACAGCTTACACACACACACACACACACCCACCCCACCCCAAACCCTCCTCCCCCAAAAAAGGGGGATAAAAGTTGTCGCTAAACATCATCTTGGAGTCTGTCTGGCAAACTGAAGAATTTATTAAGAAAATCCTCCATGACAACTGCCACCCCTCACGCTCCCTGCAGACTATCAGGACGGCCCAGGGAGATCTAAACAAACGATGGTGCAGCAAGATTGTCACCAGGGATGGAGACAAGGTCCTGCCCAGCAGAGGCCAGACCGGCTTGGGCCAGGGCTCACCAACCTGGTCACTCACTCAGCATGTGGGAGCTCTGGAAGACGGGGGGCTGAATTTCTTGGGCCGGTACATACCTCCTGCCATCGAGGTCATGCCAACTCACAGCCAGCCTTCAGGACCGAGCAGAACAGCCCCCTGGGTCTTCCCAGGCTGTGACCTTTACTGACTTTACCACATCTGTCTCTCTGTGCTGGTGGGTTCAAACTCCCAATCTTTCTAGAAGGAACTGAGAACTTTAATCACTGTGCCACCAGAGCGTCTGTCTTGGGCTACGACCATGGTGACGGCACCAGAAGAAGGGGGCTTCAATCCGTTTCACTCTGTAGGGTTCAAAATAAATGGCACTACAGACATGTTATGAGGAGAGACTGGTCCTTGGAGAGGGACATCATGCTTGGGAGGGTGGAAGGACAGCGCAGGAGAGGAAGGCCCTCTATGAGGTGGATTGATTCAGTGACTGGGATAATTGGGATGGGAGTGTCAGAGACAGTGCGATTGGCACAGGACAGAGCGGAGTTTAGGGCTGTTGTACATAGGGTTGCTATGAGTCGCAGGCGACTCGACGGCCCATAACAACAACAACAACAACAACAACAACTCCACATGTCAAAGCTTATTGTCTAAAATCCCAAACCCATGTGTCAATTTATGACTTCTTCCTGCTTGCTTTCTTCTCAGCCTAAATAGCTCTTTTTATCTGGAAACTAATTGACACAAGGCCTATTCTACATAGATATGCCTCGTTAACATAACAAAGAAAAAATCCTCCTCAAAAAAAAAAAGATCATATCCTCAAGTAAAACCAAAACCTCAAACCCAATGCCCTTAAGGCTACGGAGCAGAACTGCTCCCCGGGGTTTCCAAGGCTGAGATCTTCATGGAAGCTGCCTGCCTCCTCCTCCTCTCACAGAGTGGCCAGGGGATTTGAACAGCCAGCTTTGCATTTAGCAGCCCACTGCTTTAACTACTGTGCCACAAGGACCCCTCCACAAATAGGGAAGACTCTACAAATAGAGAAGAAATTCATAGCACTTCTTCCTGGGGAAAGCTCATTCTACAACATGACCTTTGTCAGTTAACAGACTCCCGCATGTCCTTTCTGTCAGCACCTTGCTTCTAGCACTCACTGTTTCAAAGTCTTAAACTTTAGAAAGCTCATTTTCAGACTTGGTAACATACTGGTCGGCTAATCAAAAGATGGGCAGTTCAAATGCACCAGCTCCTCTGCAGGAGGAACGTGGCGGTCTCCTACAAGGACAGCCAGCCTCAGAAACCGGATGGAGGGCCTCCTTGAGTTGGACTCAGTTGGCAGCAGCGGGTTTAGGGTCTGGTAGCTAATCATCTAGCTTACTTGCAAGTTACCCAGGTAACTTGCTTGCTGCCTGTCTAACTAGTCAGCTCAGTAGCTCACTTGTGGTTGGACTTTCCTGATACTAAGCTCCCTGGGCTCATTCTAGAGAGCCTGGCTGGTGTCAAGGCCTAAATGCTTGGCTGTTTACTGAAAGACTGGAGGCCGCCATCCACCCTTGGAGGAAAGGCTTGGTGATCTGAGTCTGAAACATCCGCATGAAGATCCTCCCTAGTCTGTCTTAATTCTGATACACAAGGACTTGGCTATGAGTTGGAATGGATTCAGCAACAGCAAATCCTTTTTCTTTGTGGTTTTTCTAACTGGCTATTGCTGTCTGCCATCTCTCAGTCTTCCTCTTTATGCTGTGAGATTTCAGGGGCTGGCCTGTGCAGTCTGGGCTCAGCCCCTCACCAAAGCCTCACCCTAAACAGGCCAGCTCACACGAATAAAGGGCTGAATAAAGGAAGGTGCTTTTATTGAATGGATGTCTAAAAATCAGTGTCTACTCCAATTCATGGACTCCCTTGCCTGGGTGAAGAGGCCCAGCAGAGTTATTCTGAGGCAAATAGATTTCATTCTAGCAGGGAGAAGAGCAGGTTATTCTTAACAGAATGAACTGGGGAGTGGGGACACACAATCCACTGGCTCCCACACATTCCTCAGCAGGGGTGTATGTGAGGCCAGGCTCAGCTGGCCTTTCTGGGTTTCTCCTCTCATTTTCCGAGTGGGGAAAGCACAAGACCCCAAGTGAGCACGGACATGTGTCACTCACCTGGATTAACAGTGATGAATCTGCTGTCCTCAGAAAACCGGTCCCCCCGGGACACGGGCTTCTTGGACGGCACCCCGGGTCCCCTGGGCTCACTCCCTGCGGACGGCTCCTCTGTGACTGTGGCTGGCACTTGGGTGGAGGTGGCGGAGTCCAGGATGAGGCCCGGGCCGGAGTCGGGCTGGTGTGTGGGGCCTGCCGTGGGGTGCCGCTCATGCCCAGGTCTAGTCTGATGGCCCCCCTCCTCCGCGGTCCTGTTGGGGGCCGAGGGTGTGGCAGTGGGCTCGGCCTGGTTTGGCTCCTTGGTGGCAGTGCGGGTCACCTCGCTCTTCTCCTTCTTCTCGGCCTCCTTGTCCCCCTCCTCCTCGTGCTCCCGCTCGCCATCCTCGCTCTCGCTTTTCTCGTCCTTCTCCCCGTCCTCGGCACCCTGGTTGTCCTGGGTGGGCGCCGAGTCGCCGTCGGGCCCCGGAGAAGGCAAGGCCTCCGTGGTGGCCAGCACTGGCCGGCCGGCCTGTTTGCTGGCCGCGGCAGCTGTGGGCAGGCGCGTGGGCCACACGGTGCTGGGGAAGGACGGGATGCCGCCCCCACTGAAGCCCAGGCCAGCCAGGAGTGTGCTGGTCACCACCGAGGCCACTGTCGCCTGGCTGCCACTGGACGACGGGCCCATCCCGGTGGCCATGGACACAAAGGAAAAGGGGATGCCAGAGGATGTCCAGGTGGAAGAGCCCGAGCTGATGGGGGCCATGTCAGCAGAAGAGGCAGGAGACGCTGTGGGCTTCAAAGGGTCACCCGGGGAGACGGCGGAAGGGACAGAGGAAGACAAAGGGGAGACGTGTCAGTAAGGAGGATTTGAAACGAGGTCCTGGTTCCCATCCTCAGATGCTTCCACTCATCCATCTTTCGGAGTTTGACCAAAGCATGGAAGGGGAGCTGACACACAGGGAACGAGGGAGGACAGTCTGCTCCACTGGTGGCTTTACAGTTACTCCCAACACACTAGAAATACTAACTAGTTTATCAGACCCAACTTTTCACTGACAGTGATCAAATGAGAAAAAGCTGCAAAAAAGTCAGTGAAGTTAGCTTACGTGTCAGATAAGTACTCCAAGGGCAGCTGTAGCTCTTGGAGTGAAAATGAAAGAGGTTCTGGGCTGGGTATTTATGGAGCTCTTAGGTTGTATATCTATCTCGGGCACTGGTGGTTGGAACTCTCAGGTCTGCTCAGGTCCTGGAAGCTGCCGTCTTGGCGGGAAAGTGGATGAATGCAGGGGATGAGCAGCCCAGCGCCCAGCCTAGGAACCATGGTCAGATCGCTCTGCAAGTTCAGGAGAGCAGGGGAGGAGCAGCCTGCCCAGGGCCCAGCTGCAGGCCTAGGAGCCACGGTCGGGCAGCTCTGCACACTCAGGAGAGCAGGCAACGGTTCTCCTGTGTCTGTACAGCTCCTCTAACCTTCAGGGTCTCTGGCTTTATTTCTGGAAAAATCCACGGATGATGGTAATACCACCGCCACTAACAAGAGCCCCACTCAGTATGTGCCAAGTACAGTGAAACTCGTGAGAACTGGAACTCGATGGACCAGCCATTGTTCTCGTAAGTGTTCTGACCATGACACAGGGCAGGCTGACTGCTTTTCTATTGCTTCTCTTAGTGGAAAACAACCAAGACTCACTCCACTAGCAGGTTTCTTACAGAGGTTCCAGTTCCAACAGGCTTTTCATATATTCTGGGCCTTCCCACACTAGCCTGGAGGTGAGCAGGACCCGTCATCTGCCTTCTGTAGCTGAGGACACTAAGACACAGGCCACCCCCTGGGGGTAGTGTTGGGTAGGGGCTGAGGAAGGCTGCCTACATCCACACTTTCAAATCCTCCTTCCACTGGGATTTCATTCATAAAGGGTTGTTGTTGTTAGGTGCCGTCGAGTTGTAGACGGCTCAAAGTGATCCTAAGAATGAAAGATCTGAACATCTATATAACTTTCATTGCTTCTCCAAGTTCACGGAACTTCTGGAGGCAAGCTATTTTGCAAGTGGATGCCACTCCTGCTTCCAGGCTTGTTTTAATCGGGGAGCTCCACCAAATACTGTCCACCTTGAGTAACCATTATCGCATTTGACATATTCATAAATGGTATGGTAGGAAAATAAGAATTCTTCTGAGTTACCAGCTCAGCTATCACAACTCACGTGTACAGAATTTCAAACTACATCCTTTCATCTTTCCAACTCAAATCCATACTAGGAGCCATTTAGATCTTATAACTGCTTTACTTTGAGAATGGTTTGAGGATGACCAAGTTAGCAAATGCTAAGTTAGAATCTAGTTTAGAATCTAAGTTTAAAAGGCCAAATGTCACCTCAAAGGGAGCACTGAGATGCAGAGAAGTCTTTGTGTGTCTGAGTTTAGAATTCATTTGCTTCATCTGTGTGTCAAACTGGGCACAGGGCTTTCAGTCACTGAGCCTCAGTCTCCCCTTCAATACAGTGGGGTTAACAATAACAGTGACCTTATTGCTATAATGGGTAAATACAGTAATTTGTACCTGAAGCCAAGGAAGCATTCAGTAAAATCAGGCTGTTACTGTGACCACAGCCCTGTGATTAGCATTATGGTCACCAGTTGTACTAGAAATAGGGAGGTCAGGATATTAAGTCAGTCTCTAGAAATTGGGAAATCCACATAGCTTCTGGTAACAGACAATCTTTTAATTTTAACATATGTCAAGTTAGGGGCTCAGAACAGATTAAACCACTTTGAATTCTTGCATCAAATGATTCCACAGATAATGAAAAAAAAAAAAAAAAACCCAACAAAAAAACCACAACAAATCTGTGGGAGTAAAAGGAATTCTTACCTTGACAAAATGAGACAATATTGGCCCATGGTTTTTTTCTCCATTGCCTTGTTTGTTTATATAACATACTGAGTCATAAGGAGTAAACAATGCAATGTTTTGTGTATTGTTGGTAAATCTCGTCACAGTTTAACAACATCATACTACCACCTCGTGGTGACAGTTTTAACTACAGGTAAATTAACAATTAGCCATGACAAAGCAATTATTATTTTATACTTACCACTCCAGTTTTAACAATTCTGGTCCCTTGGAAAATTCGAGTAGTATTAGCTATGAAACAAAGAAATTACACTGTAAGTAAACAACTGAAAATAAAATACACCAAGTTTCTCTGTGGTAATCTCAGAGAAGAGCAGTGCTATATAAACTAAAAACCTGCTTCCCGTGTATAAACAGCACTAAAAAATTAGTAAAACATGCTAATTACCAAATGCTAAGTACACATGTACCAACTACGGTTTCAAACCTAAGCCAGAAATGGCAAGTGGCCTGCATATTTTCTCTTTTAAATGGAGTTCACTACCAACAAGGTAAACATTAGTCTTCATCTAAGAATCTCGCTTCTCTGTTTATTGTGAAAATCATTTATCTGCCAATTCTGGGCTTTCCTTCCTGCAGGGCAATGCTGGGCTGGGGCTGGGTGTCTGGCGCCCCCTTTCAGGCAGAACGTGTCTCCAGTGTCCACTGTGGCTCATTCTCTGTATGTTGTTCCCTGTCCCATGTCTACTTTCAGCTCAAGCCTTTGCTTGGGAGTGGGGATCAAGTCATAGCCGACCCGCCAGCAGGTTTTCTAAAGGCTGTAAATGACACTGGAGGTGACTGCCCATTGTTCTCCCTCCTAGCCACTGGGGGATTCTCACCACCAAGCAAGTGACACCTTGGGGTCAGCTCCCTACAGACTACACAACCAGAGCTCTGAGCAAACTGTGTGAAGAGCGCAATGTGGAAGAGACACCCAGAATCAATACAAGCACTCAGCTTCTAGGTCAAATAAGGGATAGGAAGTAGGAGGTTTTCTCCAGGGACTCAATGTAGCCTCTCACAACTGAGCTGCTTGAGGATCAATACTTCACTGCCTCAGACAGGTATACCCACCTTCCTTTGTCAAGGGAGGAAAAAGGGTCCCCCGGAGGCCTGCTTTACCTGCCTTTTGAAAAAGGGCTCTAATTCAGGCCAGCAAACTAAATCACCTCTCCACCAGTGTGTCTGCTTTTCATGAATCGTATAGGACCTCCACCTGGGTCAGCGCCAGCCATGGTGGTTGAGAAGCTTCTATAGACCCTTTCTGGTTAAGTCTGTGAAGAGTGTGTAGCTTTTTATGTGAATTCCCACTTCAAATGCACAGGAGTTGATAATCCTCCCACTTGTCATTTCGTACTTTAGTTAAAAAGTGCATACAGGAATACATCATAGAAATGTTTGGTTAAAATATTTTGACAACTGTTTTAGAATACAATTGGTTTCCTTCCCCATGGAAGTTATTTATCTAGCCCATTCAAAATAGAATTCTTTTCTGCTTTGAATTTTTAAACATGTGTTTTTAGTAATGAAGAGCCTTTTGAATGAAATGAAAAAAACAACCCCGAGGTAATGTGATTTGTACACAATTGGTGGGAACACGTATGTTGAGGCGTTTCCATCTGGTGCGGTGATTGGTATGATGAGTGGCCAATTTCTTCAGACTCATGCAGTTACACAGTCACACACCAGATGGCAGCACATCTAAGGAGTGGGATAGAGTTTTCCACTTGAACCTGTGAGGAGGAAGACCAGCTAGAAGGATACTACATCCCTGGGCCACAAAAAGGGTTAAACCCATTTTGAGAAAAAGATCTGTTGACTTCAGCATCTGCCAAATGGGTCAGTGGCACAAAAAGAAAATGCTGGAATCCTTATTCTCCGTGATTGTTGAAAACTGCACAAAGACTTTGTAGACAATGAGCAATCACTCTTTTCATCCTTTTGCTAAAGACTTGAATATGTGATTAGCATTTGCTCTTTCAGACAGTCTGCTACTGGGTAATAAATGAGTGGGCTTTAGACTCAGAAAACAGGACTCTGCTACTAGCCGAGTGGGCTTTGGCAAGTTGCTCAACCTCTCTGAACTTTATTTCTCGTCTGTACAAGAAGACCAACATTATAAGATTAGAAATCAGATGCAGAGGGAAGACTTTATGTGACAAAGCTCCATGACTGTGAGCTGTTCCACATATACTGCTTGTAATTATAGTACTACTCTGAGTACTTGCTGTAATAATGTAAACAATACAGTTATAGTTTGACGATGTCATAATCATGGCTATTAATAACATATTACCATCATGTTATATATAACCCTTTTTGTTTTTAAATGCTATTTTATTGGTTCAGATTTACAGAGACCCTACATACAAGCATACATAGAAGATGTTTCCTACATAGAAGCAAGCACTAACTGGCCTTGTGACATCCTCTCAATTATTGCTAAATTTGATCCCAAAGTGTCAACACATCTCTTTGAAGACTTCTCTTTTGCTGACCCACTTTATCTCTTTAAACACGTTGCTGCACACTTTAAAAACTGACGACTGTGCTTAGAAACACATTTGCCGTCATTTGCAGCAATGTGTTAAACAAGCATGACTTCCTTCGCCAAGTACTGGCTTCTTTTGATAACATGTTCAAAGCATGTGAGATCAGGTCTTCTAAGGAGCACTCTGGCTGCCCTTCTTCTGTGTGTTCCTCTGTGAGTCCACAGCATAGTCAATATTCTCTGCCAACACTCTGATTCAAAGGTATCAATTCTTCTTTGATATTTCTTATTCATTTTCTCACTTTCACAAGCATATGAGGCCATTGAAAATACCATGGCTCGGGTCAAGTACACTAAAGTCCATAAAATAACATCTTTGCTTTTTAACACTCAAAAGAGGTCTCTGGCAGCCAATTTGTCCAGTGCAAAACACTGTTCTTGACTACTTGTTCCATGGTGGATCTGGGTAAATAAACATAATTATTGTAGTATTTGCCACAAAAGACAAATATTCCATGTTTGGGAGCTCCTTCCTTCTCCCAAACCAGCTGGAAAAGTTATTACTGAGAAACTGGAATATTCCCAACAAGCTTCCATGATATTCCTTAAGCCTTTCAGTTGGTAGTTTCTGTCTCAACAAGTTGGCTAATTTTATAACTTTGAATATTAACACGTTTGTGGCTTGCCATAAATTCAGCTAGCTTACCTGGATAAGAATGGATTTTTTACATGCCCACCAGCAGTGCCCATTCTAGCAGGAGGTAGATGGTCTATTCGGCTCAATCAATTTCCAGAGATGATATAAATATAGGAAACAAGTAAATGTATCTCTGAACAGAGAGTCCCAGACAAAGGAGACACTGGCAGGCCTCCCCAAGTCACTGGGATCAGACCTTTTAAATATTTCGTGCTTTGAATTTATAGCTGACAAGGCCTTTTTTGAATTACATTACATTACAAACATTTAATTTTTCAAAGTCCATGCAGAAGCCAGGGAGCTTGGGGCCTATTAATCTGCAAAGGCAGTTCTGCAGACGCTAGACTCCTGGCCGGAGCGGAGCATCTGGGAGACCTAAGCATGATTTATATTGCTGGAGTTCCAGCCCCACCCCCCGACCCTCCTTTCTCTCTCCCCTCTGCAGCGCAGACCCAGCCTTGGTCCAGCGGCTACCCCAGCACAGGGCAAGGGGTTGGTCCTTGCAAGGCACAGGTGGGCACAGCGAGCGGGATTTAGTTATGAAAATCAGGCAGCTATGCTCACTTCAATTAGCTGAAATGGAAGGATGAGATCAATGTGAACATTAGCAAAGGATATTTATATACTCACTGCAGACTTGGAAAGCTAGGAGGGCTCTTGAGTGGGGATCTTGGATGGACAGTCTGTTATTCTGGATTCATCATATTTTATTGGTTTTGTTAAAATTAACACTTAGAAGATGTTTACACTCAGTTCCAGATACTATGCTAGTGACTTAACAAGACATTATCCTGTATAATCCTACAAGAACTTCACATTCTTGCTATCACTAATATGTCATCATTTTTCATAGTGGGCACTGGGCAACCAGAACTTTGAGAAGTTAAGGGACGACTTCAGGTGGCAGTGATTATAATATTGGAGTTGTCTATCCATTCTCACCCTCCTTTCATTATTTGTTCCTTCTTCATTAACATAATCTCTTGCTAGGTATCTATGCAAAAAACCCCCCACAAACAAACAAAACCAAGCATGTATAGGCGGGAGGCTCAGGGCGCCCCCTTCTGGAGGGAAAGGGGATCGGCCTCACCTTGAAAGAGCATCGTCTGGCTGAAGTCACTGCGCATGTCATTCCGGCACACCGCCTGGACTCGGAAGAGGTAAAGACTATCAGGTGAGACATGGCTAATGGTGGCTTTCTGCGGGAGAAGAAAGCAAGGGAAGTGTCAGAGACTGAACCGTGTCAGCCCACCATGAGTTGAAATCCTGACCACCAGACGTGTGGATGCGACCACAGTTTGGGAATAGGATTTTCTTTGTTATGCCAGTGAAACCCTCTCAGTATAGAATAGGTCCTAAATTTCATCACTCTTGAGTGAAATAAGAGCAGGACAGACACAGACAGGGATAAACCAAAACCCGGAGTCAATTCTGACTCATAAGCATCCTGACTGCCCCAAGGCTGCAGCCTTTCCAGAAGCAGAGGGTCGCATCTTCCTCGCAGAACACAGAGATGAGCAAGAACAAATGAGGGAAGACAGATGCCACCTGGATGTCACCAAGGAACCCAGGGCGCTGGGGAGCGGAAGGCCAAAGACTCCCCCAGAACTGACAAGGGAGAGCTTGCCTGTAGAGCGGTGGCCGGGACAGTGAAAACATAATTACCTTTTCTTTAAAACCACCCACTTTTGACATTTCATCTCCAGCAGCATGAGAAACTGAGACAGTGAGTGGGTTCTGAAGGCTGGTGCACACCTTGCACCCTAGAACCAGGCCTGGGGCCCCAGCAATGGCTGACCCTGTCTCTGCTCCCCAAGGATCAGGGCTTCTCTGGCAGGAAACAGGTGCAGGACCAACCTGCCTGGGATCTGTGCTCAACATGCATGTGTTCAAGGCAGGAGGCACGATTACAACACAGCAGCCTCCTTTCTGCTCAGAAGGCCTGCAGGACTTGTACAATGCCTGGACCTTAGCAACTGCCATCCTGTGTCCAAGATGCACTCCAGGATTTAAGTGTATGGAATCTCCAGAACCAAGCCGCATTTCCAATATCAATCACACAACCTCCTCTGTCTCTCGTCTGGCAGTTGAAAAGCCTTGCCTGCACCTTGGCAGTGCTAGTATTATTAACTAGAAGTGAAGTGCAGGTAAGGATACGAGCAGGTGCTGTCCAGTCAATGCTGGGCCACGACAGGCCCTTGTGAATGAGAGCAGAACTGTCCCCCAGGGTTTTCTAAGGTGACCATTCAGAAGCAGACTGTAGGACTGTCAGTCTCCTAGGGTGCCTCTGGGGAGGTTTGAACCGCTGACCATTCAGTTAGTAGCTTTGTACCACCCCGGTACTCACTTCCTTGTATCTCTACCACAGGGACTATGAAGAACATTGTTGTTGTTAAGTGCTGTTGAGTCAAGAACGACTCACAGCAACCCTATGAACAAAAGACCTGAAACTGTTCTATAACTACTGTCATTTCTCTAAATTCATACAGTATCAAACAGGCAAACTGTTTAGGAAGTGGATGTCACTCCTGCTCCACCAAATACACTGTCCACCATGGGCAACCATTATGGCATTTGAGACACCAGTAGCAGTGTTCAGGTATCACAGCAACCCCAGTTACTTCAGTACAGCAAATAAACAGACCAGTGCTGTACCACTTAGAAAAATGTTCTTCCCAAACACAAGTAACACCAGGCCTGAACATTAGGTGAGGCAAACTTCCAGTCTTGCCATGTCACTCATTAGCTGTGTGTTTTGGTCCCCGCTGCCTTCACCTATCAGATGAAGAGAAATAGCTACCCTATAGGGTTCTTATAAAGGATATACAGCATTTTATATGGGTAATATAAATATGAATAAGCAACTCTTATTCATATGTAGATCACATGAAGCAACAGAAAGCAAGCCACTGGTGTAATACACCGGTCGATAAGCTATAAACCACAGTCAGGTTTGGCTGGCCACCTGTTTTTATAAATAAAGTTTTATTGGAACAAAGCCACACCCATCCAATTATAGATTCTTTATGGCTTCTTTCAGCCCACAAAGGGTGAACAGAATAGTGTGACCATCTGCTTGGCAAAGTTGAAAATATTTACTACCTGGCCCTTTCCAGAGGCAAGTGTGCCAATGCTGGTCTCAGGTCACCAACCTGGCCCTGTTCCCCACGCTGCAAAGCTTAATTCCAGGACTTTGGGAAAATGAGAAATGGAGTACGCCTACAATGAGCAGGCCTGGCTTTCTGAAGACACAAACACAAACAACTGATTCTTAAAGTCTCTGCCTAATTGATTAAATGCCTCATCACCGAAACATGTATTCTGGGCAAAGGACAGAAGACACTGTGAACTTAACCTCTGAGTGGGTTTTCTGGGGGAGCTATTGAAAACCTGTGAACTGGTCTTGAAATATTGCTGTGGTCACACTTGTTCCTGCTGCTTAGAGGACGGCCTTCTGGTGAGGCCATAGGTCATGGCATGTTATTCAATGTAAAGCCTCATTTCTCTCCCTTAGAAAAGGCAAGGATGCTACCTGTCTCGCAGGTGCAGAGAGGGTGTGGAAGAGAGACATAAACTGGAAAACAGCCCTCGCGTGAAGGACTGCTTTTCTGGTTTCTGGGCCACGATCTCCCTAAGTCAGAGAAGAGCTTTGCTGCCTTTGAGTCAGCACTCATGACTTCTCAAGGAATGACGCAAATTAATTTTGTGTGTCCCAAAAGAAAATCACCACCCCTAAAAATTTTTACGAAAAAGGAACTTGCTATCAAAGCATGTTTACCCAATATATTGCTTGAGTTCGCTGAAATGAATTCACGCCTCATTCTCTAAACCTCTGACCCTGACTTCTGGCCGGGACTAAATCCTCACTCCATCTCTTGGGGGTTTTATTAGAATTCCCTTCGAGCCCCTATCTGCTCATCTTTGTATGCTTAATTACTTTCACTTAGAACAAGAGACCACACAAGTGTCCAGATCATTTGTGCTGATTAATGCAAACCACACTACTTCAGAAGGAAAAAGTCCCTTACGCCTCCTAGGTGTGACAAGAGAAAGGTTAAAATGCATCCTAACCTTGGGTACCATTCTACAGAACCCCCTCTGCTTCCATGAGTCCCTACTGTGACCCAGATAACAATGTCTGGTGGGGAAATTGAAAATATAAATGGAAATGAAGCAAAAGAATGCTCATCTGAAGGAATACGAAAAGTATTATTTTCTAACTGATTGAATGAGCCCTGAGGCCTGTGCTGGGTGGGGTGGGGTGGGGGAGTGCTAACAGTCATTAAGAATCCCACTTGGCACCAGTTGCATTTTTCATGGGCACATACAATTATGGGTTTCATTATTCCAAAGCCTTCCTTTGATTAACAATAAATGCAAGGCCTTCAAACCCAAATGTGTCACTCTGAGTTTCTGTGTAAAGACTCATGCTCGTTGGAGGGTTTGCTTTAAATAGGGGAAGAAGATGGCATCTGTACACGGCTGTTCTGGAGGGAGGTTGGGGAGCGAGGAATCCTGGCCTTGGCTGGGTATCCGTCACCAGACATTCAGGCCAGGTGAGAAGGTGAGGAGTTGACTTGGGCATAGCTTGAAGTGAGGTCAGATCAGGCAGCATCGGAGGGTCTGGGGCCAGTAGTCAAAATGACATGTTTGTGGGGCCAGCCAGCAATGAGAAGATGTGAGCACACCAGGCCTGATAAAAGGGCATGGTGGGGTCTGGGGAGTAGTGGTGGTGCTAGAGGGAGGAGGAGAAGAACAATAATGATAAAAGTAGCTCAAGTCACTGTGCTCGAGTCAACTACTCGTGGCTCACCCTCCATGGGCTTCTGAAGCCCAACTTTCTCCTGCAGACCCACGGACAGCTTGGAAACACCAGAGGGGGTTAGCAGGGCAGCTTCCTACAGACCTCGCAACCAGAGCGCCCTTAACAGGAGGGCTGTGTGTCAGGACCTGTTACGCAGTCATTTCCACACCCTCTATCAGAGCAAAGGGCCAATGAAGGTGTTCTGTTTGTTGACAGTGACAGAAGCAGCACTCAAAGGGAGCTCTGGTGGCCTCGTGGCAAGAAACTGAACTGCAATCCCAGAGGTACACAATTCAAATCCACCAGATGCTGTGCAGAAGAAGGGACAATCTTCTCCTGTACCAGTCAGATCCTATTTGATGGTACATACACAAAATAAAATAAATTTTTTTTAAAAAAGCAGCAGCAGCAGCAGCAGCAACACTCAGTCCATTCTGCAGATGCTAACGACAAAACAATGAGCCCACTGGAGGGGGATGTACAGGAGGTACCTCAGGGAACCCCTAAGTGTGCGCTGTTCACAGTGGGATCCCAACTTGGCCCACCCACAGCCTCTGGCGGTGCTCCAACTGGGCAGCTGTGAGGATGGGGAGCCAGGCTGGGAGCAGGGAGGGAGGTTTACCAGCTCTTTGTCGCTGTCCTTGGTGAACGTCTTCTCCTTCTCGTCCTCGTTCTTGGTCCAGCTGTAGGAGATCATGTAGTTCATGATGGGCGGGTGGTAGATGGTCTCCGGCTGGCTCCAGGACACCTGCAGCGCCGTCTGGTTGAGAGGCTGCACCTTCATGTGAATGGGTGGGGAGCTGCACACTGAGGAGACAGAGAAGGCCAAGTTCAAGGGCTTCAGGCACAGCAAATGCAAAAGTGATAGGGCTTCTTGCTTAAATGGCCTGCCCGGAACCCAGGGAGAGTCAGACAAGAAAGGCCTACCCAGCCTTCAGAGATCCAGGGACCACTAACACTTCACCATGCCTGTTCTTTCTCTATGTGTGTGTGCGTGCACGCATACACCCCCCCACATACCACACACTCCCCCCCACACCCACATATCACACACTCCCATACACTCACACACAATACATTCAATACAACACATAAACACACCACACCATATACTCTCATACACACATATGTTCGATACAACACATATACACACACACCACCACACGTTCCCACACACACTCACACACACGGTCAAAACAAAACATATACATACAGCACACACCACACACTCTCATATACACATAACATGTTCCATACAACACACATGCACATACTACCATAGACACACACATAAACACATTCCACACAATAATTGTTGTTGTTAAGTGCCGTCGAGTCATAGGCGACTCACAGTGACCCTATGAACGAAAGTCCTCGACAGTCCATGTTCGTAAGGTTTCCCAAGGCAAACTGTTTACGGAAGTGGATGCTACTTCTGCTTCCAAGCTTGTTTTAGCTGGGAAGCTCCACCAAATACTTTCCGCCATGGGTAACTGTTATCGCATTTGACACGTCAGTGTCACAGTGTCCAGCTTCACAGCGACCACAAGTTGCCTCTGGTCTTGCTTCCCCTTAGTTTAGGGCTCTGGGCTGCCCGCCTACTTTTGAAGGGCAAGAAAGAGCAGTCACACACAGCAAAAAGGACCCTAGAAACTTCCCTTGCCTTGTCTGCCACCAAAGTCGATCCACCTTAGAGATGCCGGCCAACTTCCAGAGTGGAGGGAGACTCCAGTTGCCCAAGCCTCGATTCCACACAATATACATAGGACACATACTTTACACACTCTCTCCCTCTCCCTCCTTCTCTCTCTCTCTCTCTCTTTATGTTAAGCTGCTGCAGCCACTTGAAGCTGCAGACATCAAGATATTTCTCCCCCAATGACCATATCTTTGCATATAACATTTTCAGGTAAGTAACGCACACACAAATCCATACAATGCACATACCGTGCACTGGAAACTAACACATGAAGGGGCTGCATGATTGAAAAAGCTGTGTGACACATGTGTGATCTGTGTAAAACATGCTCCTCTGGCCTGCATCCCCTGGGAGCAGGGGTCTTCTTCCACATCACCACACCCTCATTGCGTGTCTGAGGAAGGCAGACGTGAATTCAGTCCTCTCAGCTCACACAGCACAGTTTCCCCAATCATTATTCACGGTGGTTCCCCCTCATCTCACAGGGACGGAGCTCTGTAACTCTTCAGGCTCCTTTAACCTGTCTAGCCACTCAACAAGCCTTTTTCCATGATGCTTTTTTTTTTCTTTAAGAGTTCAGGCCATTTGACTTATGGTATGTCCCCAAAAGCCCAACCTGTAGATGAAATCTTACTGCAAACAGGTGTGGCTATTTACAATTTTAAGAGGAAATTTTAACTAATTTTTCAGATAGAGGCACAAAAAGGGGGGTGCTTTTCACTGGGCAGTGGCACCCCCACAACCATCCTGACGTAAGAACAGGAAAAGGTCAGGCTTTACGGGACATGACGGGTCTACATCTACCAAATGATTAGCTGATTAAAGTGTTGGGAATACCAAGCGAGCTTTAAGAGCGATGGCTCAGAATTCTACGTGAGTTCTTTCTTGGGAGCATCTGCTACCTGGAACACTGGACCCTGACCTCGTGGGACTGTGGTCTAGAGCAAGCTTTCTTATCGCTGGCACTACTGACCTTTTGGGGCATTTCTTTGCTGTTGGGATCTGTCCAGTGCATAGTTTAAGGAATATCCATCAGATGCCAGTGACATTTTCCAAGCAGTGGCAGCCAAAAAAAAAACAAACCAAAAAAAAAAGAAAAGAAACCCTTCCTGAACATTCTGCCAAATGCTCCTGGAGAACAGTATCCCGGTTGAGAACCACCAGACTAAAAGCAGGATGAAGAGACAGCAAAGAACCACACACTTGGAGCTGGTAAGAAAGGACGGGCTGGAGGGTGCGGAAGGGTGCTGGAAGCACATCCCAGGTGGAGTTGACATCTCTCAGCAAGGGTCCAAGGAAACCACCCTGCTCAGAGAGTGGGCTATATGTTTTGCTGCTACCCAAAAGGTTGGTGGTTTGAGTCTGCCAGTCACTCTGCCGACAAAGGTGAAGCCCTCTGTTCCAGCGAGGTTTATAGCCTGAAGACCCTGCGGAAGGTCGACTCAGTGGCTGTGGGTTTGGATTTGTGTGCCCAGGTAGCGGAGTTCTGGTGGCACGGTGCTTAAGGCATTGGCTGTTAACCAACAGGCCAACAGCGAACCTACCAGCTGTTCTGTGGGAGAAGAAGGCACAGCTAGCTTCATCCAGTGAGTACAGAGAAGCCACTGGAAAGAGGGCAACCTGGGAAAGATACAGGCCCAAATGTTACAGATCCTGAGCGCAGAAGGCCTAGGGAAGGAGAAGGCTGCCAGAGGCTTCTACAGAGACTGAGGGGAGACAGCGGATGAGGGCCAGGCAGTGCCTAGACCTGACACTTACGATGTAAAAGGAAGGCGTGCACAAGTGGCATAATCAGTTAAAAAGCTCAGTGGTTAAACAGAAAGCTGGATATCTGAGTCTACTCAGGTGCCTCAGAAGAAAGTCCTGGTGAATTAGTTCCAAAAACTCAGCAACTGAAAACCCTGCAAGGCACAGTTCTACTCTAACACAAATGGGGCTGTGAGTCTGTGTAGCCTTGATGTCGGCAGGGGAGGACAGACATGCACTGGGTGGATGACACGGGGGGGGGGAGGCTGAGAGCTGGGTGGAAGGGTGGCAGCTCCGTGTGAGCTGTGCAGGTGCCCAGTGCTGGGGCAGCAGGCCGAGGTGCTAGCTGGGCTCTGACTGCACCCTGAGGAGCCGGCAATAGTAGCTCCCAGGGACCCTGAGCCCCGGGCAGCTCCGGGGAGAGGACAGGCTTCTGCAGCGGCAGTCTGAGCCTGGCTTCAAGCACCAGGCGCTGGGGAGAAGAGGAGATTGGTTTTGACAGTGAGGCATCCTTTTGCTCTTCAACTGCCAGACCACGGTTCCATCAGAGAACCGCTTTGTGCGACTGAGACAGGAAGGGAAAGGATAAATTAATGAGGCATTCCCAGTGCCCCGCAGAACCCCGGGAGGCATCACGGTCCCTGTCACACAAATGCCTCCAGAGCAGGGACATCAAACAAAGAATCAGAAAGGATGCGTCCCTAAAGCAACAGAGGCGCTATGACAGGGTAAGACCACATGGTGGCGCCAAGATATCACTTAAGTGCCTTGGAGGGTTGCAAGTCCAAGCAGAAAAATGAGAGCAGAAAAATCAGGAAAAACTCAGCATGTCCCCCTACTCCTTTCCAAGTACTATTAATGAACCAAGGAGATGTATGCATCGAGAGGCTTCTAAATATCCCAGTCAAGGCTATGTCAGATTTTCCAGCCTGTATGTATTTTCTCACCTCCTACCATGTTCTTATTCACCCCCTATCCTCTGTAATCATCACTCCCCTGCTCCCATTAGTGGTGGGCACACGTGCCTCTCTACCAGTTACATCACAGCCACATAAATAATCCTATCACCCACCTGCACATGCAACTTCCCTCAATTATTTCTCAAAGTTAAAACTGCTGGGTTTTTTTCCTTTGCTGATTAAGATGATTCATGGTATTGTTTTCAAAAAGAAACTCAAGCAAATCCAAAAAGAGAAAGAAAAATAAAGTTTAAAACAACAACAACATAAATATCATCCCAGTACCCCACCCTGGGGATCTCACATTCAGATTTTACCGTACTCCCATATGCAAGCATAGCTACTCCTCAATTATCGACTAACTCATTATCTGACATTTCACATTTACAACAATTGCAAAATCGACTCTCTCTTTTATACGTTAATGGCACACATCAATGGCAAATGCCAAGGGGCAAGATGAGAGTTACCACTGGGCATGATGGGTAAGGCTGGTGTCAACTTGGCTTGGCAGTTACCTGATGATGTCATTTGGCAGTTGTGTAATGATGTAATCTTACAGTTATGGGCTCATGCTGTCAGTCTTCATTTCCTGTGGTCATTCTCAATTGTTGCATTCTGATTTTCACACAATGATTTGGCCTTTGGAAGCTGACAATGTTGATACGTGAAGTGCGAGAATACACACAATTTGATGCAAACCCGGGATATGATAACGCATGGTATTATAAATAGATTGGCTGCTGCTGTGTTTCACTCACAAAGAAATGGATGGATTTCCCTGTCAATAAATAATAGAGCTTGGTATCATTGTTCTGATTGAAGCTCCGGAATGTCTCAGGTACTAGCAAATGTTGAGTGAACACACAAAGGCGGCGTCTTTAGCTTCACTCTCGCAAGACCACAAGGGCCTGGGAGGGAATTACTGTTGTGTACTATATGCTGAGGGAGCAGCAGATTGGGGGGATGCTGGCTGAGAAGCCCCTCCCAGCATCACGCCACCCTGAACCCCAGGCGTGAGGGCCTCTCCAGGCAGACTGGGCTGAATTTGTAGGAAGGATGTAGAGTGCTTGGGTTTTCTGCAAAGATCCAGAAATGAATTTTTCTTTCTTTTTCTCCCCAATGCAAGCCAGAGGCTTTCTTGCAGGTATTCAGCTTTGCTTGGCATGTGAAAGCATCCACAGCCAATACATTAGTTCACCTTACCTGTGGATAATACCAAGGCCTATATACACTACATTTTGTTATGCCCCTATCCACACACAGACCGAGAGGCAGTAACTCAGATATTGTGGGGTTAGTGCAGGTGGTCACCTGACTGTCTGCCAGTCTTATATCCATTCAGGATAGAATGAGATCGCTCAAGATGCGATCATGCCATTTACAAAAGCAACTGGAATACC